TGCTTGCATACATATGTATATGTACATTAATATGTTTATTCATATGTTCCAACAACTAATACTTATATATTACTAAATATACATACATTTAGCTCGAACTTATGTGGCTTGGTTTTTCCAAAGGAAGTTAGCGTAAAATTGTTGTTATAACGCTGCACAGTGCGAAATTTCGTACTAGGATGTTTTCGGGGTCGTTCATGACGAATCCGCTATCAGAATTGCAAGTTCAAAATGGTGGATCCAATATGGCGTCTGGTAAATTTCGAACTTATTAATTAGATTTCTCAGAAAGATTTTAAGTAGCAGTTTTATGGTCCACTAAATTTTCTTGTCACAAAGTGCAAGTTTAAAGCAGCTAGAACTTACCGTCATTTTCTTCCATACGAAGTGTGTGCGAAGATATGAAGAACATGACCAACACCTCCAACAAAAAAAAATTTCAAAAATCAACCATAGGTCCCAGCTACTTAAACTTGCACTTTATTGTACTAAAATTAAATGGGCTTCAAAACGCTCGAAATTTTTGCATAGAGGTGAAGCTAATATGTATAAGCTTGTTAAAATAAAGTATATTAAAATTTCAATGGCAGACGGCGTGTTATTACTATTCATCACTTAACAACTCAAATAAAAAAAAAATACCATAACATTTCTACTTAAAAAAAAAATATGTTACCGTGTTGACATTGACAAAGATTTTACGTATTTACCAGCCTTCAGACGTACATATGTAGATTCCACTTGGCTTTGTTGGATTTCCTTTACTCAAAGTTCTTTTGCCTTCTTGGGGCAGACGGTTGCTGTGAACGGTTTTCGCCTCTTGATCGGTTTAGCCAACTAAATGATGAAAAAGCTCTATCTAGAAACTGTTTTTTTTTCAATTTTGGCCGCACTTTTGGATGTCGGGCGCACTGTGCACCATGTCAAGTAAAATGTACCCCTACATTTTAAGGATAAGAAAATATCCTGATCCCTAACTTCTTATTATAGTTTTTAGGCGATTAACAACACCTGGGTCCTAAAGGTATACTACACCCTCAATCAACTGGTACCGAACTGGAATAAAGCATCGAGGAGAAAGCATCGACAGCTTAACCCTGTCAGCGTGGGATTAGTAAAGTATTTCGGCGAGAGACGGTTTGAGCACTGGTCTGAACATCCGTTACTGTCCCTATGCAATACGAAAAAAGTTGCATCTACTTATTACCCCCACTGTTAGTGTAATTTCTGAAAGGAGCCTACCCCTGTCGGATCTGTACGCCCTACCCGCCACGTCTCCGTCCATAACATAGAAGAGTTATTTTCTAAGTCTGACATCGTCTGTTTACGTGCATTTCTTGATATCAAATTGGCTTGCGAGTTGAAACACATTCTTCGGCGACTGCTGGTTTGCACTGTTCGCAATATGGAGTCTATTCATGTCCAAAGCGATGAAGGTACGCTTTAAAATATCCGTGACCCTTGATAATTCGGGTATTGTAATATTCTGAAGTGTTTTCTCTCGAGGCATGCTACACCTGTGGATATGAGCTTATAATAATAATAATAATAATAATAGATTGGCGCTTAAACATATGTTAGTGTTTGGCCGAGCTTCTCCTCCGATTTGTGGCGTGCGCCGTGCGAGTCAGACGCACCGTGTATGCCGCCTATATAAGAGTAACAGCCGGCGGTACCTGCTTTATCTTGTGTGTCGGAAAGGACATTTAGCAAAGTAGGGCAAATAATTTCAGAGCGCAGATGCTGGTCGAAGCTAAAAATCGTTGATCAACTTTTTTTCCTTAACAAAAATATGGACATATTTTAGCAATTATGTAGTCTGTTCCTTTGAACTTCGGACTAAAACCTGTGGAACTGTCAAACTACAATTTTACGCTCTCAAATGAAAAAAATAAAAGGAGAACAGATGCAGAAGTGCATAGGAACGCAAAAAGCACTATTTCCTGTAAAAACGTCAGNCTGTAAAAACGTCAGTCGGTTTGTTTACATGTCATTGGTACCACACTGATTTGGCAGAAATATCACTAAATAATTATTAAAATCTACACATATTCAAATATTTCGTGGTTTACTTCCATTTTTAAGCAAATATAAGGTTCTTTGCTTTCACCGCTTTCTGTTTTTGTTTGCACATGTAAATCAGCTGATCGTTTGACACTTTTCATGAACTTACAGGAAAAAAATCTCCGGACTAAATCCTGTAACTTCTGACAAGGAACAGTTGCTC